CGTCTTATATAGGGAGTAGTAATTTGTAATCGTATTAGTTTTACATAGGGAGTAGTAATTTTTAATGCTTTCTTGTAATCATGTCATGTAATCGTCAAACTGAGTAAAAGCCACTGAAATGTCACGCAAGATGAAAACCTAAGTTAGCATAGTTTTATTCCTTTGACCGAAAGGAATTTAGGGCCAGAAGGCAACTCGTTCCCATAAATGTTTGGAGAGGCATTAGAGTGCTCTTGGAGCTAAAATGACAACTTCTTTACAGAACTTAGTGTCACTTAAATTCGAGCACTACTTCTAAGCTTTAAGAATGCTAGCCAAACTTCCTTGGATGTTGTTTTTCGCATTCTTGTCAAACGGGTCGTCTCCAATGTAAAGATCTAAGATAGACTGGCACAAGAGCTTGTTCTGGATACTTCCCACATCTTCTCCTTCAACTACACATAAATGAAGATCTTATTAATCAAGACTTGTAATAACCTTTTAATGAACATAGGAAAGTCATAGGTAGGTGAAAGAAATACCGTATGGAACATAATGAGGATCTTTACCATTGCATACAAATGCCACAAGTGGAATCCTTACTTTCTAAGAACGAGCAGCAGTGATGGTTTATACCCAAAAGTAGATTCCACACAATAAATGGAGTCAATATAGCTTTTGTTCGTACCAAAAATTCTATACAGCTTTTACCGTTATTAGTGCAAGTAGTCACCATTTGCTGGACTTTTTTTCAAGTATTAGCAAATACAATGAAAAATGTATAAGTTATTAACAATAATAGATTGATTTCATTATTCCTTTCAGTAATCTCCATGTCGAATACATGAATCAAATGAGTGAAGAAAAGCAAGTGTATGCTGACTGGTACTCGGATACTGAATACAAGCCAATTCATTGTGAATAACCCACATATCTTTCTGACTCTTAAAATCTTTCCTTTCTTCCATCAACACAAATCATATCATCTAAAAATAAAGGGAAACGAAAACAGAACGACTTACTGCTTATTTTAAGAACGTGATTTGATTCCCTCGAAAGCTCAATTACAGATCCCTTTGGTAATTTGTACTCATCCTTGAAAAGTGAAACAAAACTGCAGAAGATCAAGGTGTCAAAATCAGATGAGAAAATTAGATATTGATAGTTGAACTTGGCGAGCATAGGATATGCTAAGATTGGACGATATGATTAAACACAACAATGGAGCAAGTATCATCCAAGTAAACCAACACTGACACACTTCAGCAAATATAGTCTGAATATTTCAGGACTAAGTTGGCCGATTATAAAAGATACTGGTCAGATAACAGTTTTGGCATGTAACACCAAAGCTCCTTAGTTGTAGCACCAGAATAAGAAATTTCCTTCAGTATGAAACGGAACACATTCAGGTCTCTAACAGCCCTACATTGTAGATGGATTATTAACAACGGCAGTTATGATCAAGTGCCAACATTGTGTCAGTGCCATTAAGGTACAGTCCAGCAGGGTCGTGCCTCCCTTCTCCACCGAGGTAGACGAGAGCGTTGGGTAGACGAGAGCTCCCTGCCGGCCGCCACCCCGGCACCGGCAGCCACCGCACCCGTCGCCGCCCACGTGGGCGCGGCGTCCACCTTCCTGCCGTGTGCCCCCGTCCGCGCATGACAGCCACCTTCACGGAGCTCCGTCGTGCAGCCTGGGGTCCCTTCTCGAACCCACACTTTAGTCGTCCACTCCCGAGGTACGTCGTTCATCTGGTTTGCTCTCTTCGTTGGTGCTCTTTAAGCTGCAGCCCTGGTCGTGCCTCCCTTCCTTCTCCTCCGCCCGCCTCGCGCCCCTCCGTTGCCTCGTCGGGCTGCGCCTTGGCCATGCACGGCAGCAGCTTCGAGGATGCCATGTTGGCCAAGTATGGTTGCGGCACGGTGGCACAGGTGGCTGGCCCTCGCCGGCCCGCCGGCATCCTTGCCGTCGTCCGCAACGAAGGCGTCTTTCTTGCCCCTAGTTTTTTCGCTTCCATGCTGGTCAGCTGTTTCGGTGGCTTCGCCAACGGCTACCAAGTTCGTCATCTCCAGCCTGGCTCTTTCCTCTTCCAAGTTGCGCATACGTCCATCGCCAAGGAGATCGTGCTCCGCGGTTCCTGGAGGTCGGGCATCATTGCGATCGACATGTCCCTTTCCAGTTTGGCCCTTTCCGGTCTCCTCGAGGTGTCACGCTCTATGCGCTCTGCATGCCATGTGACGAAGCGACAAGCTTGGCACGTCAACTCTCTCCTGCCATCGATCCTTGGTCCAGGGCTGGCTCCGTCCGCTTCGGACTCGGCTTGCAGCCCATCGAGCGTCTCCTCCCCGCGTGCCCAGGTTTTCGGGGGCCAGTGTGCTGCAACCCGGGGCTGCGACGCTTATGGCAGCGCCCAGCCCGAGGGTCATCATACTTCTGTGCACCTGCCCTCCCCTAGCGCTGTCGCCACGCTGGCGTCGCCGCCGCCCCAGGGCCAATCCCCAGCCGTCTACGGCTCGGATCCTGCGGGATCTGCTTGCAGCGCTTCGGCTGACCCCAGCGCCCCCAGCTCGCCTCTCTGTCTGTGCATGGTGATGCGCCATACAAAAGAGCCTTGCTCTCCACCAGGCCGTCCGTCTCCGCTGCCTCGCGCGCCACGCCAAATCTGCTTTACAGATTTGCTAAGCCTAAAAACCCGCACAAACGTTGCTTCCGCTGCCTCTCCTAGTCATCGTCGGCGGGATTGCCGGGATCCCGTCGTTTGCTGGTGTTGCCGCCTGGTCGGTCATGTCAGCTTTCAATGCTCTCTCCGCCCCCGGCGCTCACCCCAGCCCAGCCCCTCTTTAAGTGCCGCCCCCCTCGCCCATAGTTCGTCACCTCCAACACCTGCTTCCTCTGCGCTTGTCCTCCACGCTACACC